CACGCGGGCGGAATTCGGAATTATCGCACGCGCGTGCAAGGTTTAACCCCTTCGATACTGATATCGTAAGTAAGATTTGCGACACCGATTATCCGCAGGACGGCGCGTACATCGATAGAAATATCTTTCGTTGCTCTGCGAAATCCTTCTTCCATCAATTTGCACTTTTGTAAATAAAAAAAATTCTCCTTCAATAGAAAACTTTGTAACCCATACGAAAGTAATTCGTATATTCTCGGGAAAAAGTTATCGGTTTGAAAATAAGTACGAACTTTCCCAGCTTTGTTTGTTCTGAAAAGATTTTTTCACTTAAGTAGATTTTTTCATTTAAGTAGAAATGGATAGAAATGGTCAGACGTCGTGGCGAGCAGCTCCTGAAACTCGATCGACATTCTTATCGCATTCCTGGGCATTCCAGCTTTATTTTAATAACTATACAACTTATCTTAATAACAATGCCGATATGATGCCGCTTCTCGCGACTGTTAATTAAATTTAATAATCCAACCACTTGCGCATCAGCGGAATTCGCGCGAGCCCGTCTCGTTTTCCTTCCGCTTCCGTTTTCCCAAATGTGCGCCTACTCTCTATCTACACTCGTAAGTTAATTTCAGCTCTTATCCCAAGACAATAGACGTCATCAATTCCGTCAAGTTCTTCAAGAACGCGGCGGAATCGTTCTTGCGCGACATAGAATTCAACTCCAGAACGCGTCGCGTCGCTTCCACCGAAATATTTTCCGTGGAAATTCTATAAATACACATGTGATGTTTTCAATTTAATTTAAAAATTAAAACAAGAAAAAATAAAAGATAAATAAAAAATAAGTAACGAAAGATAGAAAATAAAGCGGATGGAAAATCATAACGGAATAAAAATGTTACCTCTTAATTCGCTCGTTTCATTTATAATTTTTCATTCCACTTCATTCTCCAATTTTCACGTATTTTTATATGAAAGAGATTAAAAGGAGAAAAGTCACATTTTCTGAAAATTATATCTCTTGTCAGTCGTGTCAACTTTTTCCGAAGATTAAATTAAATTTTTGATCACACACAAATATTAAAATTCTTCATTATTCAGAAACAAAGTCAATCTGATACTATTTGTTATTATTCGTGGTTTATTTGCGCTTCGCGAGTTATCGTTGAAATAATTTAAACTAACAGACTTCCATTCTGCACACACATACATTTCTCTCCACCTTTCTTACTTACTTTTAAAAGACTTCTAAGTGACACGACTGTTTGTGTGTTGTCTGCCGGAGGGGTTATTGTTAAAATAAATCTTACTCCGCGCTGCGTTCCCTTTTCCCTAGTAACTCCCTTCGGCCCTTCCGGCTTAACTCAATTTCGCCGTGCCGGTGTAAACCGCCGGCTCGCCCGCTCCGCTGATGTAAAGTCTGGTTTACACGAGCAACGACGTTCGTTCGGCCCACGCGCGAGATGTACAGGCGGGCGGATCCCGACCACTAATTAAGAGACCCGCCGCGGCTTGTTCGCGCTCGGGGAATTCGGGCGGTCTCCTCCCTCCACCTTGTGAGACGAATACGCTCATTTCGCGAACGCGAAACGTATTCTTCGGGGAGTCCATTATGCTACCACCATACATTCCCGCACCGCATGTTACCGCGGATTCTTATTTCGTCTCTGGATTCGGAAAATAATTGCGAATATCAAGTTTAGATGTTCAATTTTTTCACCTCAATTTTAATCAAAAGAATATTGCTGTTTCTTTTTCGAATCAACTGTTCAATTGCCTTTGCGTGAAGTATTTTCAATTGTAATTTTTAAGTATCGTTGCTTCTTCTATTTCTCGTTATCTTTTGGCGATAAAATCGAGATCGCAAAATTAAAATTTCCTCCGGACGGAGATTTCCGCCGGCAGTCCTCGATAAGAAGTCGTTCGTTCGAGGCACACGAGGAAGAAACGTGGGGACGGAGTCGCCGCGGAGAATGCGGCCCGGAGGATCCAATTATCCGCGGCGGAATAAAATTGCGCTCGACGGTGAGTCGTCCGCTCGCGACGCCGCGCACGTTGCATATATCCTCCTTGTTGCCCGGGGAGTAATTTCACTGTAATGCTACTGCGGCGCTCGGCAGCGTGTGTTGCCGAGTCGGTGGTTTCGCCGTGTTTACCGTGGCGATGCGCCGTGACGGCGCATCGTCGGGAAAATTGAGTTACGGGAGATAGAGTAGCTTTCTCGCGACGACAGCGGCGGCGGCGGCGGCGGCGGCGGCGGCGGCGGCGGCGGCATTGCGACGGCTGAAGAACCGGAAGAATGGAAACGCGACGCAGCCAAATGTTCGCGTTCACGTGCTCCGCTCTTGTGTGTTACGTATTCGGCAGCTTTTTCATATCCCCGTGTATCCCGCTCAGAGATTCTCGGAGCATTCCACGTTTCTGATCCTTAAATCTGCTTTCAATTGAAAATCCCCGAAGTCTTCGCGTTTATCGTCACGTCACTTGGCGTTTCTCCCTTGATTTTAATATGTTAACACTAGAAGCACCGAATGAAAAGAGCGCAGAAATTTAATAATCCTTTCTGCAAAACTGCAAAGATTGAAGATGAAAATCAGAAAATTTGTATATAATTTGTGCAATCGACTCTTTGCGGTACTTCTAGTGTTGTTTTTTCTACCTCAATTTATATATTTTCGAACTTTAATGTCTTTAATAATTTTTAATGCCCTCAAAAGAGCGTATTTAATGATCAAAAAACACACGTGCGGTAAACAATGCGAGTATCTAGCTCACATTGGCAGCGCTTCAATTTCTAATGAGATTAATCGATTTCTGTTATAAGAAAAATTGTATACTTCATTTTGTACGCTGAACGAATATATTGCGATGCAAAATGAGTTCACGTTTAAGAAGCAAAAGATAAAGATACTTTTCCAATTTCCGAGGTCGCCGCTGGCGACGTACTCGTGGCTAATAAATATGTTTCCAGACTTACCGGGACACTCTGTGCTGCGCTATTCTCCCGTGACTGGGCAGCGTCATGTTGCTGTCGCTCTTGGACCAAATGACGGAGCACTTGGCGTCGGGTAGTTTGCTCTTGCCTATGTAGGCCTCGCAGAAGAGCCTTGCCGCGCCTCCCATGGGTACCAGCTGCGACGCTGGTCTATACGTGGGCAGAGGTTTTCCCGTGTAGATGCCGGATTCTTCATCTGTAATTAAAGTTCGAATCTGTGAATGCTTACGAATACATAAAAATTTACGTTATAATTTAACAAATTGAATAAATTGCCGCAAGTTTCTTTACACGCGCGCGAATTAATGTACGTCTTTATTTAAGCTAGATAAATATTTTAAGGACACCGCGTATCCTTCGTGACGTTCAACGGAGCCCGGTGATTAATGTCTCTCCTGGATGCGGGGAAATATAATGAGCCGTGCGAAAAATGAAAATCACTTTAATATCGTCTCGTATTACGCGGTCCGCGCATCGCCGTGAATTACGAGTGGCCTGCATTACCATAAAATACTCCCCCGTCGTTTATCGTGCCGGGGTTTCATCCCCCCGTGTTCATATTTAATGTGAAAACACTTTTCGGCAGCGCCCGGGCATCTCGCGCCCGGAGAGGTCATGGAAACTGCCTATTTGTCATGCGAGTCTCTTAAAATTCTCGGAAAAGTCACTCCGAGGTGGCTCCTTCGAGACCTTTCCCTACTACGACTTCATCAATCTTCGCCATTTTCGAATGATCAGTGTCACATAACAATTAATGTCGATTGTTAAAATTTTAATTCAAATAAATAAGCCAAGTAAATAATTGGATTGGATACAACAATTGATGTAATTAATATTTCAATTTGTTTACACTATGAAATGATCATTTCCCGTAATTTCTAAATATTCGATATTAAACGTTAATTAATATTAAATATTTGAATACACAGATTTTAATTAGTTTCGGCCATCTGATGCTTTTGTAAAGCTTCGCAAAGCTTGTATCTGCGTAAAATTGCGATAAACATTGAGCCGGCTTAAATAAATCACATCGAAACGAAACGGGTGATGAATTAATCGACGAAATTTAATTTTGAAACGCGCGGTAGGGCGCGGTGTACGGGAGTGTGTAGACATCAAGAGCATCGAATGAAAGAAGCCGGCAGATAGTGGATAGCGGAAGGTCACAGGTCGTTGAATCGGAACGACGAGGGAGGAAATAGAGACGGTGCATCAAAACGCCGAACCGTCGGACGACGAGCAATTTAATCAGCATTTTGATGCACGAAAAACTCGAAATCAAACAACCCTGTCGTCAATCCAAAATGCGAGCGCGCGCCACTCATCACTCATCGTCGGCTAAAATTAATGAAATCAAACAAACGCAACGCCATCGAAACCGCTGAATTTTATCAACCGTTACATTGCGTAATGTTACAGAAACGAAGACGAATTCGCGGCGGGACAGCGCGCAAATTTAATACAGCTGTAATATACTTGTTCCGACGCACCGCTCGTAAATCTGAATGAGAAGTTTGTCCGCGGATCAGCCTGGGAGGTATTTTTTAATTATGTTTACGCGCCGAGCAAATGAGAGTTTCGGAATTGCGGTGAAGTTTTACCAATCTCAGGAACGTTGCCCTCCTCGCGTAACGATAACATAAAGGCACATTCACTCTCCGTAATGTTCCCGAAACTTTAAACACGGTTATCACGAAAGTCCATTTCCTGCTTGCAATCGTGAGGAAAAGCCCGTTGAGCTTGGATTTCGATAATGCGCGATAAATGCAACGAAAGTGATATACAACGCACGCTTACGCAATAGAAAATTATAAAAAACAACAAAAAAAGGCCGAAAATAAACCGAAAAATGTCCGAAACCTCTTTTTATTCCGTTTTAATTTGTATATCTCTTGCGCCTCGACATCCGTGTTTTTAATTCACATTTTTTTGTTCTTCAAATATATACGCTGCTCGGTTAGCAAACTATGTTCTTTTAATCTTGCTAAAATTCTTTACATTTCTTTTAATCTTGCTAAAATTGTTTAGATCTTTTAATACAATTGATCGTTACATTTATCTCAATTTAATAACGTTGAAATCAGAACAAAATACTAATGTTTGTTGAAATTATGATTCGGACCGCATAGGATTAATACACGATAATCCTATAAATAATTTATTTTTAATTCTTGAAATAATTTCGTTTTTACCAGCGAGGAAACCGCAGCGATAAACGAGGAAGTTTCGTTTTGAAAAAGCGCGGCGCATCCAAACTATTCGGCCGCCGTTAGTATGCGCGTCCGCGCGCCTCGTTGCATCTGACGATGCCGCATGCGGCACGCGGTATCCGGCCGGGCCGGGCATTCGGGAACAAACAAACTGCTAACTAACCCCCGGACTGTTGGAATTATGATACATAGGCTGCGCGTGCTGTAAGCGCGAATATTCGTCCGTCCGCGAGACTCGGATTAGAATTGCACTCGCATGGCAATCCCGAATTGGAATATGTCCAGTCATTCCTTCCAGTTCGTTGATTTATCCTGCACTGTAGAATAATGCACGAAATGATTCATAGCGCGCGTAAGAATAAAAGATTAAAACGTGTGATAATTTTAATTTATTTCTATAAAAAAAAAAATAAGCTAAAAATATTTAATCTATTGAAAAATCGTCGAAAGAAGTTTCTTTCAAAATTCAAACATCAGGAAAGATAAAAGAATTTTGATTTGAAAAAACTTGCAAAATATTCTCAATTAATTCGAAAATGATTAAGAACAGATTTATTCAAGATCCACGCCGAGGCGATCGCAGTTCATAAGGCAAAGAAGCATTAGATAACTCTAGACGCTTCTGCAGCCGCACCGCCTAACTTACGCCGAGAGCGCTACGCAAAGTGAACGGGTTAATATTTTCACTCAAAGAGTGGAAGAGGAGTTCAATTAGTCGGGGGAGTAAAGGGCGCTCAAATGTGCTCGCCTAGGTTCGCAATTAATATTGTATAATCGAATCACGATGACGGCTCGGGCGAGGACTTGAGAGCGCAACGCCAAATTCCCCGAATTGCCACGAGCGCCTTCAAAGCGGCCGCCGTTTTAAGCTACCGAGGGCTGATCCTCGCGGCAGGGCTGCCGTAACGATTTAATTACACCCCGCGGTAGGTGGGTAATTTCGTGAGGGAAAGAGGGAGGAAGGGGCAGGGTTAGACTGGGATTAGCTGCAGTTAGTCGAGCTGGTGATCGCGGGGACACGGGTAACGGGGGGGGGGGGGGCGCGATACACTCGCGATCGCGTTCCCCAAGATGGCGACGAACCCTCTCGTTGGCTCATCATGCCGGGCGAGCAGGGCGCTTAATCTCGCAAAGCTCTCCTGTAGCTTTACGCCCGCCCTCGATATTTATCGGAAACCGGCCAATTTGTGCTCGTCTAACAGCCCGCGCGCGCAGCGCGTCGTTCGCGTAAGCCTTTCGTAGTTCTATCAGGTCATCCAGATAAAATATTGACAGAACCTAAGCTAGACTAATCGATACACGACGATAAATTGGCGATCGTTAAACGGCGAGGCTCCGATAGTTACGGAACTGCGCTCGATATAGCGAAATAAACAGTTCCGCCGAGTTATTAAACGCTGTCGAACGGACGATGAAACTCTTTTTCTTTCTACGATAAATCGTACAACTTTAAGCGGTAAATGATTTAACGTGTCGTCATGAAGGTATCTTCCTTACAAATTAAACTGTCGCGACGAATATATATTCTATACTAAATATATAAACATGAATTCAGAGTCGATTATTTCTTAACGAAAATTTGATTAATTTATAGCGCATAAGAGTGATAATATAATTTTCCCGCAAAAACTGTTACAAGATTTATCGAATATTAATACGGATTTTTTTTCAAGCAAAATGACATACATGACCTCTGACATTCGATATAATAAATGGATACATTCTAATGTGTCAGAGAATGCAACATTGCATCAATTAACGTGAATTGTGATGAAAGTGCAAGCTGTTTAATTTTTGAACTCCAATTTCCATTGCGCTGTTAAAAAAATTGCCGTCGTTGCTACGCGTGATTGAAGGTCGTAGTTTTCTTAGCGCGCAGCATTGAATTTCTGACGTCAGAAGCGAGAAGTCGTGCCGAACTTTTTCCCACAGTGCACGTCGAAATAAATTAGTCCTTTCGTATAATTCAATGTGAAATCAATACGATTGCGGCAAGCGACTAAAAGCTGGAAGGTCCAGGCCGTAAAGGCTGCGAATTCGCTGGCAAACAGAAGGTGAGTGCGCTAGCGCGAAATTAACACAAGGCGAGTCGCGTTCTGCACGGCGAAACGACGTAACGATCCACGTAACTGCGGACCGATAATCGAATGCAGCCCCGGCTTGATTAAATCACTCTCCATTTACGTCTTCCCCCCGCACTGCCCCCGCCCGAGCCGCGATTCCTTCTTCTATTAGCTCCATTTCATCCTCTCTGTTTCGCCCGTGGCTCCTACGTTTGCTTACGGCATGCCGTGTGCGCGCAACATGCGCGCCGGAAGGAGATTACACTTCGCGCAGTATCATTTCATCTTTGGACGTCGAATGGGAAACGGCAGACGAGATATTGCGCGAGGATCGAGGAAGACCAATAACGCGAGAGAGTGGAAATCTAATTCGACAATCGCGCCGCTTTTCCCTCGGTGGCGCAAAGTAAGATGCCGAGAAATGAAAACGAATCAAATGCGAAATTGTTTTCGAAAAAAACGCGCTTGAATTCGGCGATAAAACGTGTTAGAAGGAGTTCTGGTTTATCGAGAAAAATTGGATTTCGTTTCAGCGATTTCGTTTCAACAGATTACATCACATTCAGAGTTTTAAAACTGCAAACCATAACGCTTATTATAATACGATACGTGTATCTGTATTTTCGCACTGCAGAAATGCGAAATTTAGAGAAATTTTCAAAGTATGCCACAAATTTTTATAGCATGCCGCAAAATTGAGAAAAATGTAGAAAATATAAAATAATTATTATTCATAACTATACAATCGAGGTTGGATATTTCCCATTCTTTACAGATACACTTGCAAATACTTTTTAAAAAATCCGAAAGATAAATAGCCAATTTTGCGTATAGCTTAAATAATTATTTAACTTGTTGTAAGTGGTTGAAAATACCAAAGCCTCGGTATTACGACAGGAGTGCTACGGTTTCGCTCTAGTTAC